GGGAGGTTGCTTCAGCTGAAGCCTCAAGTTCTTCCAAGTCTCTTTGCAATCCCTGAGACCAGAGCCAAATCCACGCAGTGGGTCGAAAGCGTGGAGAGCAACTGCACGCTCGAAGACAAGCTTGGCTGCTGAGAAAGTATCCACGCTGAAGCCTCGTGCGAAAAGAGAAAACCACTTGCGGCCGAGCACAAGATGGTTCTCATAGCAGGTGGAGTCTACCTGGTCTACCATGGTCAGCTGAACAGTCTACCTACCTGGTCTGAGCAGTCTACTCTACCTGGTCCACCCGGTCTTCAAAAAAATTGTTCGGTAAAGCCACCTGAATGTTGGGTCCAGTCTAACACCGTGTGTCTCGTTTCCATACACAAAGCACTCCAAAGGAAAATCGGAAGGTATCGTTCGACATAATCTAAACTTATATACATCAAAAAGCGTTTCAGGTTGTGCTTGACAGACAGTTGCACATAGTTGCATACCTCCTACAGTGAGCCTAAGAACCCCACAAAAAAAAAAAAAAAACAGGATTGCGTTGGGCTCATAACCTGTTGGTCAGGCATGGTCCTGTGCCTAGGGTCTCCCAAACACCTAGTTCCAAAACCCTCAAAAACTGTCTCTTCTTTTCTTCGCTCTTTGAAGTCTTGACCCGATGTCACGGGCTTGATGGAGCACATCGACTCCATTTAAAGGGCTGCGGTGACCCTTCATGTTCAAAGCTTTCATGCCAGGAGGTTCATGCATCAGCAGGAAAGAGGGATTGTAAGTGGAATCGATATCCAGAATTGTCTCTTTAACTCAAAAGGGAAGGCCCCCGACCGAAGGGGTTATTTAGTATAAACAAAATAGTGTTTTATATCAAAACTAATTTGTAATTAACATGTAAATATATATATATATGTCTGTTTCAAGATGGTATCCAAAGATTTGCTACGAAGGACAATTCTAGCCTGGACATTCCAGCCCATTGCCCAACCCTGAGAACCCCATCTGTGACACTCCGAACCTCCACCAAACCACCAGGCAGCCAAGACTTGTACCCACATAAGGTGGACCGTGAGCCTTGCCACCTGCAGCAGTTTTGGGATCTGTGGGAGATCCCAAGATGAATTGGAAGGAAACAAAGGGGACGAAGCTTTTGCTGTCACGGAACGAACCCATCGTATGAGCTCGGACGAACCCGCAGCACGGGGGAGAGAAAATGACTCATATGTCTCTCTCCAGGTCGACCCAGGTGTGGCTTGTACAAGAACCCTAAGAACCCTTGCTGCCTTGTACATCAATTCCACCCGGATTCTGAAGAGCTCGTCCTCCTCCCGCTGTCGCCGATGAAGGTCGACTCCCTCTTCCTCCCGGAAGTGGGACGCCAACCATCTCCTCGACTCGAAGCGCTGCGCTCGAAGCATCTTCTGCGCTGCTTCTGCGGAAAGAACAGAGAGAATATGCGCAAATTTAATGTTACCTCCAGCACCTTCAAAGGGGTCACCTGGCTGGAAGCCCCAGCCCACCACTAAGGGACCTCCAGACAGGACACCCCTTGAAGGTCCAGGCTGGTATATGTTGTTTATTTTGGGGGGTGTGATACGAATGGGAATACTAAGAAGTTAGACGCGACAGATCGCACATATTTGCAAACACATCGATAGAATTTTGTAAATACCTCATATCGTTTGGTCGTCCAGTCGACTCGCCGACGTCGGCAGGAACATCAGTGCAGAAGCGTATCAGATGGAACAGCCAGGACTTCCTGGAACAGCCATGATGGAACAGCCAGGAGCGTTGAAAATGGACAGACACGTGTCCAAAATGGGTGTTGGATGTTGTTCCAAACGTCATCGTCCTGGTGTTGATTTCTGGATGATCCAGATTGCTGTGGCACTGCGCAGTGGGGTGGTTTCCGATGGTGCTGAGGACTGTGTGGCAAGTTTGCTCCTGTTGTTGCTAGTTAAATCATTAACTATATCTGATGCAGATCATAATTGGTCTTAAAATGGTTCCGGTCATGATGAGGTCACGTCCCCGACCAATCTTGTACTTCCATGTGAGCAATCCCAGCTACAGCTTGCGAATACAGTGGAATTGCTGCCTCATTGGATAAAAATTGTTGTGAATCCCCTTCCGAAGGCAGAGGGCAAGAACGCGCGACCTGTCCGAGATGTTTAACTGTCTGGAACTTGTGCAAGAGAAACCCATATAATATAATTCATATCACTTCTAGATCTTCCTCAGGTTCAACATTTGGAGGGGATGCTATACCATACTTAAGTGGGACAGTCCCACCTATGAAATCATTTCTTATGGCGTGGTATATGGAGAGAATGACGAAAAAAAATAACTTTGCTTTCTTTCGCTGCGAATCAGTGTCAGATGAACTAAGTTAATCTCTTCAGGACATGACACAGCGAAAACGACACATGCCAACGCATCGCGCCGTTCGCTGCCGTTCGCTCTCCCGGAAGGCCCGGAGTGGTTTCGTCGCCACCGAGTTGAGGCAACGATTCGGATGGAGGGACGCGGCGGACGCGGCATGGACGAGGACGCGCCAAGCTGTAAGGCACCGCAAAGTGCATAGGTGTTACCGATCAACCAGCTGTTTAATACTCAGATCTGTTGACCCTCTTTCTGGGTTTCTCTTCCAAACAATCTGAAAGGGATGAATGTGCCCAAGACTCTCCATCCAACAAAAGCAAAAAAACATCAAAAAAAGACATTTAAAAACAGAACTGCCTTTCACCCATGATGAAAAACGGTCATTCCGTGTGCGCGTGCGCTTGCTTTTTTTTGGGTGAGACCCAACAGGCCGAGACACCGTGTGCGCCCGAGACAGAACCAAAAAACACCCGACCGGACCTCGAGACGACGCGAGGTCCGGACCCTGTCGTCGGCCCGTCGGTTGCAACGACTCGGGCATCGACTTGGGTATGCGGTATGAGACTCTGTGCAACGGCTAGGCCTGCCGCGAAACTGGGCTGTGTGATATAGACCTGCAGCCCAAGCATCCAACAGCGCGTTTGAGCTTCAGGCTCTAGAGTTGGGACTTGAAGTCTTGAAGATTTGTGGTGTTTCAGATATATATATATATAGCCATTTCCCATAGATCCATTAGGACAAGAAAGGAATCAAACCTGTTATGCTGGATGTATCAAGATACTTTCCTGTTATCAAAATGTATATATACCAGCTGCTTCCAACCGGTGACCTGGCTGGACAACCCTACCCTACCGGTCTCCAGACAGGGCATCCAGACAGGAAGTGCTAGGTAACTATACCCAGGCACTCCATGTCTGTCATATATGCCGATCAGTTGGAGTGGTTCACTGGGGGTCTGGCTGGGGCGGCAGTCCGGACTGGCAGTCCCAAACAGGTCGTGTCTGGGATACTTCAACGCCAGCGGCGAGAGGCGGTAGTGAGGCGGTAGCTGTGGGTTTGGTTCGACCATCGCGGCGGGTTCTGAAACATATCAAACGTCCAGGAGTCACATGTCGGGGTGGTGTTTGGTCCCCAAGTGAGTGGATAATGGGCACACCTAACCTCCATTAAGCACCCCTTTGTGACTGCTGGGCGGCGCCCTCCTCTTAGTGCTTTTTCTTAATTCATGTCTTTGAAGACATGAAGACACAAGGAAAGGGGTGCCTGAAAAGAAAGAAGTAGAGGCCCCCGCAAGAACCTCATGTTCTTTGCCATCCAAAGAAAGGGGTTTCTCTACGAAAGAAGTGATGTATCTTGTGGATGTCTTGCTTGTTTTTCCTTGGTGCCGCCAGCTTTTGACTTTAACTTAACTAACAACCAGTTTACCTGGTAATCCCCACTGGTCACCATCCACAGCTGGGGGTGACATGGCCGTAGCATGCCGTAGCTATATAATTGATATGGACCGGTACTGAGATTGTCTGAAACAACACAAAATTGGCCACAAAAGGGCCGTTTTTGGCACAAGAACTGCCCCAGAGGCCTGTTGCAAACAGCCCAGAGTTGCTTGATGTTAATATCGGATGCTCTTGGTTCCATATGGATTTACGAGACATACATGACATAACTACAAATACACCTGGAGCGATCCAGGACCGGTTTGTTTCGATCTAGCGCCCCCCATCCGCCTGGAGAGAGAGAGAGAGAGAGCAGCATCCGTTGCAAGAGGTGGGGAACACCGTTGCGAACCGCGCTTTTGTGGGTAGACGAAAACAGCTGTCAAGAGCTGACTGGACCATTTGATTCCAGCTGCAACCTGACTGATTCCAGCTTCTCATTGGGATTGTCACCAAATCTCCTCTTCTACTAGGGGTTCAACGGGGAACCACGGTCATGACCGTCGTTAACGCAGCCCAATGCCAATACCGGCTTGAGACAGGCTACATGTAGCACTGCCAAAAGCAACAGCCCAAGGCCCAAGGCATACGTCAGCATGGCTGGCCATGAACGTGCGTTTGAGCCGCGCGCTTGAGCCGTTCGAGCCGTGAAGGGCCGTGAAGTCTCCACCCTTGGAGTGAACGTAGCGGCTCCCTCTGGAGAAGATGGAGACCCGGGGTCTTACTAGCAGGGGGCGAGCCCCTGAGACACCGAAAAATACGCACAGCTCAGCCGTCGAGGTGCAGAAAACCAGCGGTGTGCCAAGAAATGGCCAAATGCGGGTCATGTTCCACCCAAAGAATCGCAGAACTGTTTTACAGGTCTCGGATTCGGCGTCACTTCACTCGCCGCCCCACTCCGGCCAACGATGACGCCGGAGTAGGACTAGCTCGTAAAGAATATCCGACATGTTCCGCCTCCAGCTTGCATCTTTTTGGAACACAGCCCAAAGGTTTGAATTCTGTGGATGGGTGTGTTGTTGTTTTTTTTATTTTTTTTTGTGATGATGATGTTAGTTTCTCTAAAGCAAAGTCCCATACAAACCAATCAACCATCAGCAACCTCCCAGGCTTCTCTATTGGTCCACACCTCCCCACTCTCCCACTCTCGCACTCTCCGAACCGCACTCTCCGAACCGCCCGGTCCAAGGTCCAAGGGACCCAGTGTTCTCAAATCCACAGCTGCCACCGCTGTACATGTCCTTGCACCATGCATCACCATGCCACCCCGGACGAGTTCGGAACACGCGGTTCATGAATTCAAGCGGCACATGCAAGCGGAATGAGCGGAATTCAGCTCGTCAGAGCTGGTTTTTCACTCACGTGGTTCGGGGGCTGAGGCGTCACGGTGATATGGTGCTCGGTGGCCGGGTTGTGGGGTGGGGTGGGAGGACCATCTGGGGGCAGTGGGCAAGGTGAAGGAAAAACCAACTTCTTTGTGTCCCGAAGTATTTGGGGTCGGCCCGACCGGTTTGCAGTGTGGAATGCAAGCAATGAGCTACATTCAATGAGGGATAGACGTTGGCAGTTGGCTCCTGTTGGTTATGCAATTGTTTGATCAATTCTATGTCTTGTAAACCATACCAAGTCAGAACCTTACCATTTAAATTGATAGTGCCCCTATCACTTCATACCCTGTCCATAAGTCTTGTCGGATGCAACTGAGACTGTCCAGAACATTCGCGACTGGCGCGTCTTCGGCAGCGACCGCGTCTTCGCGTGTCTTCGCGATCGTCGCATGTCGTCGCATGTCGTCGACCGTTTGGCGTAAGAAATGTGGTACGAAACGACCGATGAGCTGGCAGAAAACATGGTGATCCACGACCCACTGGTCTGACAAATGAGGTACCCAGAACAGGAATCAGTTCCGACACTTAATTAGACTCCCAATGCGATCTTTCATGATCTTTCAACTTGCATGCAGCAGCCGGCACTGGACATGCCATCTGCAAGTATTCACTCATCATGATGTTTGAAGCTCATGGCCCAGGGGCCTGTGGTCTTGGGTGATTGCTCTCGACTACCGGTCGCGACCACCGGCCCTAACGACAAGCTTCACCACGCCCGTCCAGGCTTCACGCCCGTTTGACCGTCTTCCGTCTTCAGGTCTAGACCCCCTAGGAGTGACCAAGGGATGCCGAACTTGGAGGAAGTCGGGGTGCCCTTGTCACATCCACAGCCCCTGGATGGGACTATAGAAACCACCCCTTAATTTGTGACTCCGACGGTACATCTGGTTCAACTTAAGATTCAACAATCAACACTAAAGTTCAGGTGATGCTCCGAACTGGTCATGTGATGCTCCGCTTCTTCCCTTCACTCCCATTTCTGCCCATGTCCTTGTGCGGCACATAATGGCTTCCCGGTCCGTAGGTGGCAGCCATCAAGTTCGGCACGATACGAAGTCCTTGGGCAGATCGACTCATCCAAAAACGTGTCGCAGATCGACGAGTCTCGTCGCGAGCAGCAAGTTGAGTTCAGTTATTCGATGCTCCCTTTCGAATCATCGAAGTGGAGTGTTTGAAACCACCTGTTTGGTATGGAAACTGGCAATCCAAAGGGCCATGCCATACACTTCCATGATCGTTTCAGGGAGTGTACTTCAACCATCTGCAGAAACCTACGATAAAACAACATAAAGCAACAGCCAAATCATCAAATTGAAAAACCCGGCTCCCTTTGCTGAATCCATCCACCGATAGGTAACCCTCCCCAGTCAAATCCAGAAAAGCATCCAACCTCCCCCCACGGCTGCTGTCATTTCATCTTTATGTCCTTACCAAACAATGATCCTGCTAAAATGATCCAAAATTCAGCTACTGACTCCTGACAATAACAATTCGTCTGCTCCACCATCCTATCCAAGAAATATCAAGAAATCCATCCGCGACTATCCCAGGCGCGAGGAGAACTCAACTGCACCTCGCGAGCCCGTTCCTCCAAAGCCCCTGGCAGCCCCGCCAAGGCATCTCCCAGCGTCGCCAGCGCCGGAGGTACCAGGCCGTCACCGTCGCTGCCGGGTCCGGCAAAACGGAGCCATAAGTGCCGGGAGCCCGGGTTGCAGGTACCTTAGGTACTATGAACTCGAGATGAAGAGCAGAGAGAATGCACCATCCATGCGGCAAATATGTGTATATATGTATTATTATATACTATAATGACATATAATGACATCACATGACATCAGGTTCAGATCGAAAAGGACCATGGTGACAAAAAATACAAGAAATGATCGAACATCGGAGTGAAGATCTGTCACTGCTCGAGCTTCAAGAAACCACACACTCTCTCTCTCTCTCTCTCTCTCTCCCTCATGGCCGAGCTTCTTTGCGAGAAGTCGCTCAGCTTCCTGAGTTCTTAACCAACCTATCCGACCCTCCACCGGCACGGTCGAACACAGACACGGAGGCGAGTTGGAATAGATATGTCATAGCTGTGCTATTCCTATAGCATCCTATAGCTATGCCAGTTGAAATAGCACTGTTTTCTTTCCAAAATCCAAGGCAACTGTGCTATGATCTGTATAGTTGCATCATGTTGCATCCAAGAGGAGCTACGTAATTAAGGCTTCAAGCTCAAGAAGGAAACACGTTGGAACAGTCACCCATGTGACAGTCACCCAAGTGCCACAGCACGCTCATTGTTCTGCACTTGCACGGTCATTGAGGACCACGCAACTCCTCTTCAGCATCTCTTCCCCGGCACCACCGCGTTTTCGTGCGTTTGGAGCACCACGTCCAAGTGTCCCATCTTGGGCCATTTGCTCCAGCTCCGCGTGAGCATCCGCAGCCAGCTGAGGTGGCACCATGCCATCCAGAACGATGCACCTGGACTCTCGACCGATCATGGCAAGATTGGTGGACGCAGAGTGGAAGCGATATGGGTGGGTGTGTCAAAAAAGGAAAGAAGCCACACACAACTAAAAGTTGGTCTATATATTATATATTTATATATTACTATATACAATTTGTCCATTTCTATACCTAGTGTTTCTGCCTGTCCATATGGATCCACATACCCTCGGTACGGAGGTGTCCAAGGACACTCTAGGCTGGATGTGTACGACTGGAGGGTCCAGGTAGTGGATCCCTAGGGTGTGTATGTGTGGGCTATGACTTTTGGAGCACCCCACTTCGACTCCGGTTCGGGCAGACACGACATGAAGTATATCATCCTAGTCCTGAAAATGACCCTTCAACCTCCTCAACAAATTGGTTGGACCCCAAAATGTCCAAAACACCTTAGTGTACCTAAGAGATCTCAATTCCAGAAGGTAGGGAAGGGCCCTGTGCCACACTGAATCGCACCACAAGTCCCCAACCAGGGGAGGTCGTTTGCCTATTACGAAGCTGCAATGCCAACACAGTCGACCAATTTGTTTCATCAACAAACACCACCAACTCAAGATCATTCCAAACCAGAATGCCTGTCAACCTGGAGCATCTTGAAACCTCGCAAAAAAAAAGACCCAGGTCGCAAAAGAAAGATCGAAACACGGCTCCCACAGGTCTTCCCATCCGCGAAACCCCCTTAAAGATTTCCTGATTGATCTATAGGGCGATCGATCTCCGCGACCGATCCCCTGGAAAAGGAAAATAGATCAGATGAAAATAGACCAAAACCCCAAAACCCCATTGGTTGGGCACCACGACTTGTGGATGGCTGTAGCGGACGCCGAACAAGTACCGCGTCAAGAACGATGAGTACAGGGGGGCTATCTGACTATCGACAGCTATAAGTGTATCTGGATAAGGTTGCAACTATGTTTCAACATGTTTCTCTGAGATGCTACAGGTTGCCACATGTTTCCACCCCTTTGGTTGGGTGTCTCTTTGATGTGTCTCCCTATTCAAGCTCACACACCCATCTAGTACTGTTCCATCCATCCCCGCTGGTCTGATCATGCGAGATACCCGAGGCCCAGAGCGTTCAACTGGCTGAAGTCCTCATCCGGATTGTCTGGTGGAATCGGAGGAACATGGCTGCAAAGGCACATGTCTGGGGCGGTCAGCATTCGTGGGGCCATCCATCTCTTCTCCCGCCACTCTGCAAAGAGCGAACGAATCTTCAAATTCAAAAAGCGGACGTTGATTGCCAGAGAGCTCAGATTGCCATGCCCAGAGATGCAAAACCTAGATGATCTCCTACCTCAAGCTCAGCCTAGCTCAGCCAAAGCGCCTGGGCTTCTATCCACAGATTGACAAAACAGCCAAAGCCTCCATGAAAGAATCTGCACCAAACGTGATTGCATAACTGTTGTCCAACGATGACCAGGAACTTAGTAAACAGTTTCACGTCGCAGCCAAGTGGCCAAGTACAGGGAGAACATGGGAGAACTGTGTTTTTGTCCATGACCGACACTATGTCAGTCAGAACCACCTCTTTCGGCGGTGTTCAGGGTCCTTTAAAAAGGGAAACATATGTGGTTTCCAGTTTTGTGGCACAAAACTCGAGGGTGTGCATAGCGGAGGAACTTGTATATAGCAGGTGGCTTGTAGCAGGTGGCTTTCCCCTGGCCCAAGCTCCCTTTCCAACATTTGACCCTGTCACAAATTGTTGAACCTGACGAGATCTAACTTGAACCTGATTTCCACGTGGGACTTGGACCATCCATGCTGATAGCAAACAATCACTCTTCTATGGATGCTGGCCGCTGTTCAACGGCCCTAGTTCTTCAAGCTTTCTGGAAACATCGATTTCTTCAAGCTCTTCCTGCTCCAATTTCTCCGACCCTTATGTCCTCTTAGCTATCCATCACGGTCCCTCCAAGTCCCCCTCCTGCGCCACTGCCAGGTGTGGTGCCCACAGCTGTCGCGCGTGATGCGCCGCGACGAGGGCGTCGGCCCAGGGGCGACGCCAGGTGCGGCAGGGGACGCTGAGGTCGTTGAAGACCTGGGCGTCCGAGCCGCGGCACCGTCCAAGCGACGTCCGCGCGGGGTGCGATCGGGGGCCTCCCGATCGGGGTGCTGGGGAGGGGGAGGGTTCGTTCGAGCAGGGTTGGAAGAGGTGGTTTGGACACAGCTTTGGGGGGTTGGAGCGACTCTAGGGAATGTGAAAATGATCCAAGCCGGTTGAGGGGTGAGTCAAGCTTCGTAGATTGGACCTCGCGGGAGAAAAGGGTCTGGAAATCCGGCGATTGGTTCGGTTCTCCCACGAAAGCCGGTTTGGGCGCAAGACTCAAGACTCAGGAGGTTTGGATGGTGCCATATGGATCCAAACCGTCCGGGATTCACGGATCCACCGTACCTCGGGTTCGGTACGACTGGACCCTCCTGGCGCCTACATCAAAATGCCTCCCCTCGAAAGGATGAGATGTGGATCCATAGGGCATGTTCAAGACATAGCTTTTCACCAGGTTCGTGTTCGCATCTATGTAGGACACCTAATGAAAGGGTTTGCCATCTGAACTGAGAGGCATGGCCACAGTGGAAAGTACATGATGCAAACACACGCCAAACAAACTCTTCTGGTTGGTCAAGACTGAATGTTCAACTTCTTGGGACCTATGGGATTCTTCACTTGCTTCCAGAATCTAAGGCATCTAAAATCAACTAGAACTATACATATATTTTTTTTAAACAAATTCTATATAAATATACACATTTTCTGGAACTAGTTCCATCATCGCAAAATAATCACCCTTAAGAAGCAAGCACAAACAGAATTGAATTAGCCCGGGCCGCAACCAATTCCTCTATCTGATGTTGGCTGTAGTATGTTTTCGTGGAAAAGCCGGCTTATCGAGTGTTCGTTGCAAAAACATCCCAACCCACCAATGTTCCAAGTAAAACCACCACGAAACACACCAAAACCACAAAAACATCCACCATGTCTCTGGAGAGTTCATCAACTGTTTTCCAGCTATAATTTGGACTTCACATACAGGTTGACCCTGATGTTGTCTCTGTACAGCGATGCAGCGGCGACATTCTTAAGAAAATAAACATGGAACAAGAAACATGCGAATGAATCATGAGGATACGGCATGGTGCACATTATGATACATCATGTAGATATTATATCAGGGCTGGGCGCCATCTACTTTCTTCAGTCATGGCAAATAAAACCTCACTGGTTGGTAAAGCCCTGCAAAAGACTCTGCTTGCGGAAAGCCCAGGCACGTCAGAGACCTGTACAATCTGATGAATTTCAAGCAAATATCCAGTAAAAATCTCTGCCAGCTTCTTCCGAATCTCCTCCTTACCCATCTGCAGCCATCCTGCATCCAGCAACTTCCCCTCTCCTGAGTGCGAAAAGATGATGTTCAGTTAAGCATAGACGCTTTTCTCTATACCGGAAAGAATGCAAGTTTCCTGTTTAGGAGTCCCACTGGTTAAGCCATGTTAAACCCACCCAAGGTCATCCGCTTCCAAAGACAACATCAAGATGCCAAAACGCAGCTTTCGCTCAAGACTTCCTCCGGTTTCCGACTGAAGGGAGCCACATGTCGAGATGTCACGATTCATTGCACCTGCCACGAAATCAGAGCACGCCGAAGGCCACCACAATGTCCAAAGTACTGCGCCTGCCACGAAATCTGTACATCGACGTACAAGCACCTATCACGAAAAGTCAACAGATTCTGCGAGCCGGCGCAGTCGAAATGCACTTCGAAGATCTCCAGGGGAATGAATGTCCTGTATATAGGAGCGAATTAGCCGCAAACGGCGATGAGCACCTCGATCAGACACCCGTCCTTAACACCTACCGTAAGAACCCCTAGTGTTAGTTTGGGGAAAAATCCGACACACCAACAGACGACATGTAGACAAAACGGCAACAACATGCACTTTGACATCAATCTCCCTCCACTCCAAGCTACCCACCACTTCCTCCAAATGCTCCACCAGCTCCTCCGCCCGCCGCTCCGCCACATGCCGCAGTGCCGCCTCCGACGCGGCGGTTCCTCCGAGCCCCGCTTGGGCCAGCGCCTCGACGAGACCCGGCGGAGCGGAGGAAGAGGCGGAGCCCAGCACGGCGGTTCCAGCGGTGCGGGAAGCGGAGGGCCTCGGAGAAGACGGGCGGCCTCGAAGACGGGAGTGTTTGGGATGGCAGAAATGGAAGGTGTTTTTAGAAGTGTGACGTGCAGGCGGTGGGTGTCTTTTTTTGTGCATCTTATAGTTAAACTCTATATGAAAGTGGCATGGATGGTGAATTTGGGGGGAATTGGCGGTGCCGTGTGGTCACATCCATTGCACAAAAGTGACGGCAAATTGAACAGCATGCAGCATGGTCGTCACTGCGGCGGTCATTCGTGTGGCGGCACGCTTTTGACCCGCCACCCTCGCCATCATGGGGGTGAAGAAGGGATGCTGATGGCGCGTCGATGGTGGATGGATGCCACGCAATTGTTGTTCTCACTATTCTCTGCACTCCAGGGTCACTTCCAATGCGTGCGCTCAACTTACCCCTGAAACTCATGTCAACCTTGCTGAATTGCTGTATGATTCTTTCTTGCCCTGCCGTTCAAAAAACGGTTTCGTCTTGCGCATGCGAACCATGCCCGGCACCTCCGCAGCGGTGCCCTGCGCGACGCGGCGAGCAGCAGCGTCGCGGCCCCAAGCGGCCGCAGCCGCGGCGACGACGCGCCCAGCGCGGCGGCCACGGCGCGGCGGCCGTGCACCGCCACGGAGTAGGTGGGTGTCACCTGCGGTGGGCGAAACGGAGCCCAGGTAGAAGATGGCAGTGTTTGTGGCACTCTTTCTCCAAGAAAGTTGATGAACTTCATGGATCAGGGATGATTTCAGGTTTTCTTTGCTGAAGAAATCATAGACCCTTGACAGCAAGCAGTGATGGGGATGGATTAAAGCATTTTCTGTGAGCTCCCAGGTAGGTCAAACATCCTGGTGCCGTGTTTCTTTCAGAGCCATGCCCTGCTCGGAACGAATCATGGGAATTCCAGCTGCTACCTCTGTGCTGAGCTGGCGAACGGGATAGGTTAAGCAATCCAACCACTTGTTGGCCCAAAAAAGAACTCGAATTGACTAGCCACATGTCCCGCAATCACCAACAAGTGAAGTGATCGACCAGCTGAGAGGTCCATCCTCAGGAAGGTTGCACCAGGCAAGGCCATAGTGCAACTAGGTCGGACCTCTACCGGTTATCCTGCAAAAGAGTTGCTGAGTGAGACACTCTACACCAAACTACACCGAACTACACCGAACGGACAGAACACTCCAGGTATCTCAGTGAGATCGGTAGATCTGTCACTCTGTTGCACCTGAATTGAATTGTTTGAAGGAGACACCAGTCTTTTCCACTACTCCCCTGCAGATTAACATGGAACCCCAAAAACACTGGGGTGTAGAGGGAAATGGTCTTCCATCGGTCCATTTTCGGGTTCCATGATAGTTTGCGGGGGGGTACTTCAATATGACTCAATCTGCCGGCTTCTTCAGGTTTCTCGAGGGCACCTTCAGGCAAGCCAAGGCCAGCGACATGGCACACTCACTCTGGGTGAATTTTAGATGTCTGTTGCACAAGGTCTCTCGATCCGTAATGGATGGGAATATCGGATTTGCTCGCGAAGCTCAGCTCTCTGGAAGTCAAATAAGAAATCATACAGATAGAAACCGACTGTAGACTGGAAATCACAACAACCTATTTATGCACGATCAAGCTTTGGTCCTTTGATGTTGACGGATATGAACGGATAATTCTTTCGGAACCTGTAGACGAGGTCTACGGGGCCCTTACCAACAGGTGCATGATCCAAGTGAGTCGGCCATCGACTAGAGTCCAGTCTGCCGGGTCACGGCATACCCCCTCCATCCATGCGGAGGACCGCACCATCGAAGCTGATCTCAAATGCGAAAATACATCACCCCCATTTCTGCAGCCTGACACCCTGCCCAAACCCTCGACCCCAACCAACTCCCAAAAAATAAAACTCGAGTTTGCTGTTCTGTCTTCGGGGTCAGGAGATGGGGGTGGATGGGGGTGGGGGCTGCAACAAAGTCCTCCTAAGTTGCCTTTCTGTCTCCCTTCTCTTCTTCCTTTTTCCTTGTCTTTTCGGACTCTCCGGTGTTTACCGAGACCTACCGAGACCTACCGGCCTCGATCCTCTGACCATTCCGCTGGTCCGTTGCCCACACGGGTCGTTGGCCTTCGGCTTGTCCTGGGCTCCCGAACTTGTCGGCTTTGTCCTCATCGTCTTCTCCTGCATAAGCGAACTTCCGAAGGGTTTGGGGTGTGGTGCGGTGCGGGGCGGTGCAGTGCAGTGGAGCGGAGCGGAGTGGAGTGAGTGTTTGAAAAGAAATCCCAAAACGGGTGCTGTGCGATGTGGCCGGAAGGAGGTCGGCATGAGTCAAACAGGTGATCACAAAATATCACATACTCCTGACATGTTGAAGCTCCAAGACTCCAAGAGGTCAAGGATTGAAATGGATTGAACCTTTTCTAAAAAGGTGGATTTGCTTACTGATTTGCGACATCTTGTGCTGGTGACATCTGGAAAACTCCATGGCTCCAAGAGGAAAACCTTCTCACAGGATCGAACCCGACCGGTGTCTCACCGGTGTCTCACGAACGCGGTTCCCGTGCTCCGCCCACCTCGATCATCAGCCTGTAGAGCTGCGTCATCGGGTGGTTGCTGCGCTGGAGCAGCCGGGGGATACATCTATTTGTTTTTACACCATTCAAGTTTCTATCTTATGAGCGGACTCCAAAGGTTTCTAATATAAAGCTTTATTGTTACTATAGTAGCGGTGGCGTCCAACCTAATAGCGATGGCCTCCACCTAGTAGCTTCTAGTTACTAGTTTGATTCACATGCCGCTTCATGTTGTTTTTCCACCGAGATCAGTGGTTGGGTTGGTCCAAAAATAAGAAATAATATGACCTCTAGGCCCCGGTCAACCACAGGTTTCCTGTCGGCAAAGCCCCCAGTGTTTCCTTCTGCCGCACCCGGCATCGCAAACAAGTTGGAAGGCAAAGGACCACTTTTTCTGCCACGGACAACCACGGCCTGCGTTGCCAATTTCAACGCCGTAAAGGTCCCTTCGCTTCCACACGGTTGTCGTGCCAGCGCGGTGTGTTTGTGATGTAGGCTCTTTTTTGCATTCATGAACCCACCAATTTGAATTGGTCATCATATTGGAGGGTTATGGAGGGTTTATCTTTATGAATCAAGAGTCTACATCATGGTCATCCGGGTCAATCGCGTGAAACGGTCAGGTGGATGACTCTGGAATAGGTGACCTCCTTGGCACATGTCTCGTCGCGTGTCCTCGACACGCGACGCTGGACCATGGCAGGAACCGGACGCTGCGCACAAAACATGCACCGGACCCGCTCGGGGCCGGGGTCATATACACCACCTTCAGGTCGTTGGGGTCCGGATGGAACCGTGCGAACAAACCGAGGAACGACCGTGCTGGACCGTGGAACGACCAATAGGACGGTCATGTTCCAGGTCGTGCTGTTGTCCGCCCCTTCTTTCGGAGGATCCGAGGTGATCCGAAACACTTCCTCTTCGGCCTCCGGAGGACCTCCTGCAGAAGTAGAACACTTGGCCGAAGAAAACCCCACTGAGTCTTCACGCATGCAACTGAGGAAGGTGTGAAAGCAACGGCTTCCCAAGACAGGAATTGATGAACATCCACAGGAAGGTGTGAAGGGCGCAATTAGGATGGCAAAGCTCCCTTCTTCGGTGGCGGGAGTCCCCTTTTCTTCCACACTGGCAATGGGGGCCAAATGGATTTTAGGGTTTGGCGGATTGGTCAGAAGTGGGAAAAAAAAACGAAACACCCACCCACACTCACTTGCGAACTGTCCGACGGTCCGCCCCTCAAAGCCCTTCCACATATGTGGGGTGCTAGACCGATCTCCTCGATCGGTCACTTCCAGGACTCATTGGCCATGCTGGCACTGCTCATTTGCTCCAACAGCTTCATCGCGAGCTCCAAGCTCTCACCCTTCCTGGAAGGAGCGATGCGCACCGCGAATGCGGCGAGGCAGAGAATAGCGCATGTTTGCGAGGCGAAATCCGAAAACTGAATGGGATTTTTGCATAGGACCTAGGAGGGATGGTCCAAAATCGACTGTTGTTCATGTAAGGACATTGATTGACATCCTGTCTCCATGTGAGGACCACCATCGAACGATGCAAGCACCTAAAAGGTAGAGACACCCACCCACCGAGCAGGCTTGTTCACCAAGCAGCTACCTGCCTGGAACAGGAGAGACTTGCGGTTTTCAGCAAGGAATTCTCAAAGAAGTCACAGAAATTGGGGCCGGCGATCAGCTGGACATTTGGAGGGTGAAGTTCACCAAGCAGAGTTGGGCGTTTTCTGGGCGTTTCTTCGCCAGGTCCGATCCCTAAGGCACCCTCCAAAAGACTCCAAACACACAGTACCGCCCCAGCACCGGAAGTCGTTGGATTTTGAGTTCTCTGCAGGGTTCGCCATCCGCCCATCCCTGGAATCTTTTCGAGCTTCACAAGGGCACTGGTCACTGCATGGTAGGTCATTGCATCTGCCTCCAGCTTGGCCTGTGGTAGCTCTACAAGGTACCTGCACACAGACGGCGCGCGCCACTTAGGTGCTTGTTTTGGCGTGGATCATGTGTGAATGTAATATCACTATGAGAATAGGAGATTTGGGAGAATGGATTCACTTGGCAACGTAGTAAACTGACCTGCTCAGTGACTGGTCACTGTCCAAACTCTAGTGTTATATAGAGTATATATATATATAGTGCCTAGGAGTGTATTGAAGCACTCTATCGAGGGTGAATGCAGCACTTGGGCCACCTCAAGTTCGAGGATGAGCCGCAACTCCAGCTCAGCAGGAAAAAACAAAGCAAGCGAACCTGGCTGGTTGACTGGATGTTGATTTTGGAAAAAACGACTTGCGGCTTCCCAAAGCATCATGTTGGATGGTGAAGACCCGTCTGAAGAGCCCTCTGGATCAGGAACTAGCTCGGGGGGGCAGTTTGGGGCAGTTGTGCACCAAAATCTCTTGAGTCTTGATCAAACCCCACCGCCCAGACATTTAAATTGCAAAACCTCTTCATCTTGGGGGAAGGCTTATCAATCAGTCTAACGTGGCATTGCGGACATGGATGCAGAACATCGTTCTTCACATCTCGTCGCCTGATGTGAAGAACCAAATCATCCTGCTGATTGGGAGGGCAGAGCATGGTGCAGCATGGTGGATCATGGGAGAGCATGGTGGAGCTCCGTTGCTGGCATCAGATAGTCAAACTTGCAGCTGATGTCATGTGGATAATCAGGGTCCCCTCAGACACTCGCGCTACTCGCGCGCCCGCGCGGGACCAGCGCCTGAGCGCCCGTTGCCACTGTGCCGCTGCTGCACAGCTGCTGATGGTGGCGCTCATGGCAATCAAGTCGGCGCTGAGGCGCACCTGACTGGACAATCGCGCTGTCACATTCGCAGGGCTGCAGCATGCCTCTTAGAGGATTCGCACTACCTTCACTGGTGTGTCCAAAACGGTCGAAGCAGTCGATTCGAGACTCCCAGGAAGACAAACATGAAAGTGGAGTGAAAACCACCTGCTTGCAGAGGATAGGGTCATCCAATGGGCCTTGCCGTCTCCACGTAACGATGATTGTTGCAGATCATGTAGATCTATATAGTTGTAGGATGTTGTATGACAATGACAAGTTGTATGTGTACCTTTCGCCCTCCTCTTTGTGCAAGAAAGAGTTCTTTGGCACTTACATCCCACATCATCTCACCATGCGTTGCTTCGACCGGGAACGAAATCGATGGTGGGACATGCTTCGACTGGGACATGCTGGGCGGATCCACATCGGTGAAAACGAAGGCACCAACGCCGCCTCCTCCCTCCTCCCGCCTCCTCCATCCTCGACAGAACAGCCATGGAGTGCTGCCATTGGTCGCCCCTTCCGCACGCCACGATCGTTGAACTGTAGGTCCACCTGAGGACCGGTCTCCAGCGACGGAAGCGGATCGAGGTTCCACTGCATCCCAAAAGGATCAGAAGGGCCGACCTTCCGAAAAACGCTGGCCCCACAAACCCCAACAATTCTGAACAAACCAACTGTTTCGGGTTTAGGGCTCCTCTGTTCCCACCAGGTGACGCCTGATTTTGTACAACTTCATACAACTTCTTCGCCTTTTTCGCGAAGAAACCCGAAGAAACCCGAACTTTCTCGACCGAATCACTGGGCCTTCCTGCTGAAAAAAAAAAAAAACGTGGTTGCTGTGCTTCACCGTTTCCTGCTTACACACTGTTCTCAACTGCCCAACATGCCAGGTGCCCAAACTGTTTCCATTCCAAACTCTCCTCCCCCCTCCCTTCCTCACCGTGCCCTGATGCCACACAGACCTGATTCCTGCCCAGAGACCGGACCGCACCGGACTGTGCACCAATCCGTTGCTCCGTAGGTTGGGATAGCTTCTTGTTACTAGTAACTAGTAGTAATGGCCTCCAACCTACAGTAATAGCGATGGCCTCCAACCGTGCGTGGCTTCTTGCTCCGTACACACCCAGCGCGTGCCAAGTCTCAGATCTGCTCGACTTCGCCAACGCTCGAGGAGCTCCAGGGCACATGGCCAGGCAGACGCATCGGCACAGCTTCTGATGGCCTCAGCTGAGTGTCGCAGCATCCGATCTCCGGAGACGACCGATGCTCGGGTTGTTCAACGGCGGTCCACCGGGGAGGTCCTCCGAGTCCTCCTCCTGCGGAACAGGCGTTTTCACTCGTCTCGTGGCAAGCACTGCCAAAATATGAGCATGACACAGTGATGACACATGTAACCAGTGCCTTAAATGGGCAAAACCATGAGCTGAAAAGAAGATTGATGTGTCCATCAGCGCTGGGAATTCCAGAACCCCTTGGAACTGCCAAGATCGGAAACCGCGAAGGAGTCAGCCGTCAAAAACGGCGAGACATGTGAGGATGTGCGACCATTTACAGTATATAGCTAGGAGCGCTCTGTAAACATCCACAGTGAGTCAAGATAGGTGTCAACAATTGGTATGCTACACGACTCCCATATTTATGAGATTCATTGAGATTCTATGAACACATATGAACACAAGACGACACAAACTGATCGGCTTCAGATCATGGACATGTTTCTATAAAGCAAACCGGCTGAAGATTGGCTACACAATACACACCAACCTCGGAACTCATCTATTCCAAATGCTCTCGAACTGACAAGAGATACAAGAGCATGCCCTGTCACAAACAAATATAGGTGACAGGTGGACATCCTGAAAAGCAAAAACGCAGCTTGAACCATGTGCTGTTTCACTGGTTTCAAGTGGTTTCAGTGTTTCATGGTTGATGTTCGCTGTCGGGAGCTTTCACGAGAATTCTGTCTCCAAAATAATGAAAAAGGCATGCATCATTGATTGGTTGATATGAATGGTGTTTCTGCTGCCTTCTTGGATCGATCAAGTCGGGGTGGGGGTGGCTTTTGTCCATCCATGTGCCTCTATAAGTGGTCAAAAACGGGTTGCCACCGTCTTCTCCCAAAATGTCCCAACTCATCCTCTCCACGTTCTCCAAAGCACCGCGTTGCAGGCTGCCAGCTCAAGCATCTCGTGCTCAAGCATCGCAGGCTGTGGGAGGTGGACCAGCCCGACAGCGATCTGGCCATTGAAGAGCTGGAGGGGATGGATCATGATGAATCACCAATGGAGCGGCGGTCGATGACAAGCATCTGTCATGACAAGCCATCTGTCACATGAAAACAGGGAGCTTCATTAGAGGCGCAACCCATGGACTTCATGTTCACACAAAAACACCATAAACACCATAACACTAGAGATCCAATTCAAAGAAAGCACCCTAAAACCAAAACCAGCACCCATGCTTGGGCGATATGCTTGGCGATCCCTTCACATCGCGCAATGCGGGTGTTTGGATCCTTTTCTTCGACCCAGTGGTGTGAGCGACGTGATCCATGGATCCACCGACGAAGTTGGAGGGTACGACTCTGGGTACGACGAGGGTCCAAGGTGTCTGGAGGGTGTCTGGAGGGGATGTGGATCCATAGGGATTCCAAATGGCTTTGGCAAACGGGTCTTAGTAGATCCTTACAAATCTTCCACAGCATGCTACAGCTATCGCAGCACAACAAACAAGAGTTCAACACATCCTAGGTGCTCAAGAGAACAATGATTGATGACACTCAGTTAGTCTCTTACATTCGAGACCAACTCATCCGTGCATGAAACAAGTCTTCTCCACCAGGTGGGGGCCGCCTGCGGCCGCGTAGCCCAGCTCCGTAGCTCCCCTTGCACCCGAACCGACCCCGGCTCCGTGCTCTTCGGTCTCCAGCCTGCCAGGGCCGGTTGCGGGCCGCCAGGGGCCTCAGTTGAGCCTCCGCAGCAGAGCCGACGTCGTCGTCCACGTGCAGCAGCGCCAGGGTGGTGCGCCAAAGCGCCGGGACGCTCAGAAGCTTGGTCCTGAGGGGCAGGAGGCGCCAGGTGGCCGTGGAAAGAGTTGAAGAAATCCAACCTAGGGACCTAGTTGGTTTGGAAAAAAAAATGCCACACGAGGTGGTCTAGTTAAGGGTTCTCTGGATGTTTTGGATACATCAAAGGCTGGGTTTTCACGGAAACTCGCATCAGCTACTAGGTTTGTCGTGTGGGGGTCCCAAGGGGTCCATCTCTTGGTCCAGGTGAAGCCGTCGAACTGGAAGACTCTCTGTCCAAGGGATTGGGGATATGATGTTTACACCCACAAACATAAACGCACGAACGGATGTCCATGTTCTTGCTCCAACTACAGCAGCCTTGATATCTTAGAGATATCTTTAGCTTGCTCCAAACAGGTGGTGAACGATAGGCAAATGAAGCTGCCACTGCAGCCATGATGACAGGTTTCTGTCAGAAATGAGGACGGACATCGCATGAAATAGGCGATTTGGAGCCGGTCTTCCTCCCTCCGGACCGCGATGCCAAGGCTCCAAACTCTCAGGTTCGCCTCCACCTGAGATCGGCGGCATGACCGGGCCGGGCCCCCGTTGAACAGCCTTGCGAAAGGAGAAAAGGACGGCCCGGTGGTGTTATATACTGAGAGGTCATTCTACTGATGTCTCCAACTGAAGAAGGACTGAAGCCCGGCAACTCGGTGTCCGAAATGTTCAGCTGTGTCCGAAGACCCGCTCTTTTCAGTAGAAGACGAGTAAAGCTGATATGGATGTAGCAGACTCTGCAAAGGCATCCATAATACAAATCAACTGAGTACTGTCTGCAAGCAGTTGGAGAAAGCCTCCGCAAAACAGAGGTAGCTGCGAGGCTAACCGAGAGAGTGTGTCATTCGGAGGAATGGGTTGGGTGTATCTTGCAAACCCATCCTGTGTAGGTCAAGAGCTTTCTATCAAGGACTCAACTGGATGTGCTTTTGTCACGTCGACACACAAAGTCTCCTGAAGCCCGGCATCTACCCATCTCAAGATCCCTTCCCGAGCCCTGCCTGTCGTTGCCTCAGCAGACCTCGGGTTGCCCGGTTGTGATGTCTGATTTGTGGGGGGGGCGAAACCACAAGTCTGGTCACACCGCGAAGAAAGGCCATCGAGGAGTTGGAGATAGAGTACTTGTATAATGAATACGAGGATGTTTAGATTAGATGCCAGTCCTAGTCAATCAGTTGCAATAAAGCACTAAGCCTCAAGTGACCCCGCCACAAAGAAACCTAGACTGGTCCGGTCTAGGTTCGCGGTTCTTCTGTCGAACACCGAAGACCTGGTGCCAGCGATCGTCTCAGTTGATTGGTCAAAACGCTCCAAACCTGTTGGAAAAGAATCTGACCTCCCTCGGTGTCGCGAGAAAGAGAGAAAGGTTAAAGTCTTTTCTCCCACCTTGTGTTTTTGAGGGTGTGCTTGAGAGAGCACACATTAGCTGGCTAAAAATCTATCAAAAACACTGTAAATACACTGCAAAATTTGAAGAACTGCTCTGAGACCTGGGCGAAACCCATATTGTTCTATCTTCCTGTACCAAATTTGTATGTGCAATGTCAATGTGCAAAATCAATGATAAACAGTATTAATTTGAGTATGCTTTGTTCAATATCAATAACTGCCTGGTAAGTTGTATGCATTTGTTCTCAATATCGGTCAGAGCTGTTTGGCTTTGAATCTTGAAAGGATTGCTATCAGATATGCAGACTTCAGCTTCAACACTCTCCCCTGAGCAAGTTCGCTTTGATCCCAAAGGACCTTTCTATTGTTCCAATAGATTTTACATGTTATGATTGATTCTTTCTATTATTCTTCCATCTATGCTGCTTTGATTTCGCTGGTGGCCTTTTTTGATAGGCAAACAGCAATCCAAATAACACTGATTTAGTTGCAGTATGAATTGGGCTGTGGCTGGCATCTTGTCCAAACCAAGAAAAACAGGAACCATGACTCGGCAACCAAAAAGAAATATGTATGTATATATGCTGTATAACTGTATAACTGTATATCATTGTTTGGGATTGACATAGAAATCAATCAAACCTCTTGTGCCTAGTCCAGCTCCTGACCTTCTTAGAAAGAGCCAAGCCAAACAACTTGACCAAGAAAAAAGGCCTTGTGCAGATTGAAGCAGCCTTCCTTTTTGGTGCTCAAAGTTAAGGCACGTTGAACGTGTAGAACACCTTGAGCAAGACAGATATAGCCAACTGGAGCAATAGAAACACTTATTGAGACAGGACACCAGAAGAAATAATTTGTTGCCTGGATAGAAGTTAATTGATGCTGTTGCAACTTGGCCTAGCTGATTGGCGTCTTTAGTAATGCGCTCCTTTGATTGAATCTTAACGCTCTTAAGAAGGCAATGTTAAAATCCTTGTGAAGGTTGAAGCGGCTTCCTTTCGGTGCTTAATTTTAAGTGCATTTGAGCAACTGGAAAAAGACAGTGAAGCAAGACATACATAACCCTACTGAAGCAATTGAAAAGCCTTTTGAGACTGTGCCTCACAAAAACCTAGGTGTTGAGCTATTGTGTTGCTTCAATTTTTAAGACCAGGCCGGTCTAGGTTTAGAGGGTATACTAAAAGAACAAAAATACCAAAAATACAAGTAGTTTAAAACAATAAATACAAACAAACATGTTTGAGACATTTGGAGACAAAATGAAAGCAAACCAAAAAAAGTAAAAACAAATCCAAATCAAGTACCCTCATTTTGTCTCAAACATTGTTTTTTGTTTTTTTTGAGATGTCGTTCGTGCTGCTATTGACATGTTTTTTGTCTTTTTGGTATTTCCTCTAAACCTTTGCCGGCCTGGTCCGAACAGTTGAAGCGAAAACAATGGTTCAAAAATTTGTTTTGTGAGGTTTCAGCCCAAAACCACGTTAAAGAACTGTGGTTTTGGACATGTTCTGCACGAAACACATCTCTCAGGAACACCCGTTCTGTTGTTCTTTGGGTGGGGGAAAGCAAGAAACCGACAACCCACCAAAACAAGTTAAAGCTTATTCACGTTTTCCCGGGTAGAGGTGTTCGACCTGCCGGCTCGTTCGACCTGCCCCCTCGCCAAGCCACAGAGGAGATCCATCGCTCGAGGCCACGAGTGCGACACCCTCGGGCACTCCACATGCTCGGGCAGATCCTTCGAGCGAAAGTAGGCCAGAAGGCAATGGACAAAGAACATGTGGTTTTTTGGGGGGGATATGGAACGTATGTTTTAAAAAATCAAACTATCCAAAAGGATGTTTGACTCCAAAATGATGTCGATCATCTTCCTTGAGTTCCTGTGACTTAAGCTTCGTTCGCCATTGGAGAAGCGAAAGGAACCCCACCTCACGGGGTCGAAGGGTTCGGACGAACCCTGCTGAGGTGAAACCGGTGGTTCTTCACCCATGCGGCTGGAGCGAAGACCGAGCTGAAACCATCTGGATACTTAAAAAACACAAGAACATGTTTCCTGGATTTCATGACATATCCTGGGCATATATAGTCAGCTATAGTATATAGTATGCCTTATTTGCGCTGGTTTTATCCCATTTAGATTAGTTTGGATTCTTCCCTGGTCTCCCAGTCTCCTCTTTCCGAACCACAAAGCAGCCGCTGGATTTGCGACAATCCAGGGGGATCCGGGCAACGTGGGTGGAATGTGGTACGTGCATGTTACATCATGTTTGGATTTGCTGTGCTCAAGAAATGCCGAAAAGGGATTCACCCAGTTAGGGAAAACCAACATTCACCCATGGGGAACATACCCTTTGTTTGGCAAAACGAGTATACTGGTAATGTGAGAACGTCCAGGTATAGGGGATGCCAAAAGAACAATCAGTCTGTAGTCACTTTAATCACTTTAGCAAAATAGATGAACAGAGTGACCATAGAGAGTGACCACAGAGTGGCCTGAAGAGGCAATCGTGGAAGCCATAGTGTTCAACCGAAAGTCATCTGCTTGGCTGTTTTTGGTCGTTGGAGGTCGTTGGTTCCTTTAGCCCCTAGTAGCGTTCTTGTTCCTAGTAGTAAGGCCAGGAGCCCCTAGTAGCGTCCTTGCTCCTTGTAGCGATGCCAGGAGCCCCTAGTAGCGAACATTGCTCCTAGTACTAAGGCCAGGAGCCCCTAGTAGCGTCCTTGACCTAGTACCTAGTAGTAAGGCCAGGAGCCCCTAGTAGCGTCCTTGACCTAGTAGCGTCCTTGACCTAGTAGCGTCCTTGCTGAGCCCCTAGTAGCGAACGTTGCTCCTAGTAGTAAGGCCAGGAGCCTAGTACCGATGCCAGGAGCCCCTAGTAGCAAACATTGCTCCTAGTAGTAAGGCCAGGAGCCCCTAGTAGCAAACATTGCTCCTAGTAGTAAGGCCAGGAGCCCCTAGTAGCGATGCCAGGAGCCCCTAGTAGCGAACATTGCTCCTAGTAGTAAGGCCAGGAGCCCCTAGTAGCGTCCTTGAAGCCCCTCGGCACAGATGGTGCAAGACACCGCCCTCCACCAGCGGAGACTCGCCGGTCCGCCATGCTTTCGTGGCCATGGACTGCATTGCTGGTGATCCTGCAGCACGCTGCACTGCTCTGGCCGCCTGGTCCCAATTCCAGGACCGTCCAAATGGACCGCTTCGATGAGATAGCGTGGCTTGAATTCCAGACGAACAGTTTTTTTGAAGAGTTTTTGGACGGTTGGGGTGAGGGTGAGGTACTGACCATGCAGTGCCTCGAAAGGGATAGATTGTTAGAGCCTCATGATACTATCCCTGAAAGACATGGTACAGGGCACGTAGGGTCTTGCGAGACCAAATTGAGGGCAAGGCGCCGACCTGTTGAACAATCTTTTGCAAGGGTCATGAAGCGATTGCAGCAAACTGGTCTCGGCGTTTTTCGTGGACAAGTTCACACTCAACCACTTTCAGCTCCGGCTGGCCCTTCGAGCTGGAAGCCCTCGTGGAGACCACCTCGTATGGCATCAGAACAGACAGCTGGACGTCCTATGGTAGATCCAACAAGCGGAAGTGAAGGGCACATTGATGGCTTTGCGCCTCATCAACCCCGGCAATCTCTGCTTTATCCATACCAGCTTTCTGGCCTTCTGTTGGGGAGTTCTTCACCTACGCCACGGCAAGTGGTCGGATCTTGGTGGGGTGCACCTGGGAAGGCCACCTGGCACCCTGAGCTCTCCGTGGTTGAAATCTTGGTCTCCCCTGATCCTGCAAGTCTGGCGACTGAGGTTTATGAATTTGTCCCGATTGTTGGAATTGTCCATCAAGGTCACGACCAACAAGGGCACCTACAAGGAGTTGGAAGAACGACCAAAGGCTGGGGGCTGTTCGACGACGGCAAGGAGTTGGGCTGCCAGCCACAGGACTCCATCCCGAGGCCAGCAGACTGGACTTGCGTGTGGTTGATCCGCAACAACCGACGCATCGAGGTCACACCCTTCCACTACACTCGAGGACATGATGCCAAAGTTCACCCAGCAGTTCAGCTCTCTGTTCAACGGAGTTGGCAAGAGCTGGAATTACGTGAAGATTTGGCTCATTATTTTGCAGTTCATTGTGGTGCATGCAGCCAGATCTTCACTGATGTGATCAATCTGGCACGACATGTCTTTCAGTGGCACTTTGCCCCCTGCTGGACTCTGACCAGACCCGCTGTGCTCTATGGCCCAGATCATCGAGGATCAGACACTCCTTGGTTGATGTGTGCTGCAATGCCTTGCTCGCCCCCTGATAAGACCTTTGGAGCTCCGCGACTACTGGATGAGTCAGGCTTGAACAGCCTCGGTTTCTGGCTTGCAATGGATAACTGAGGCCACCAGGCCATGCTGCCATGCGCCATTCGAATAGAGTGGAAATTTTGCATTTTGAATAGTAAAGGTTGATAAGGTCGACAGACCTCGGCGCGAGGAAGCTTCCTCCGTGAGTAAACCTCACGTACGCCCACATAGCTCCAAGACATTGGAGATGAACCCAAAGAAAGAAAGTAGCGTCCTTGACCTAATAGCGATGCCAGGAGCCCCTAGTAGCGAACATTGCTCCTAGTAGTAA